GAACCACAAAATGTAGGCTTTCCTTGCTGTACTTAGGTCCGGTAATATTGGAAAATGTATTAACTAGGCCTATGTATTTTAACTTAAGACACCTTTCACTAAGTATCTACCTATTTAGTTACCCTAGGGTGTGCAAAGATATGTGCAGTGCACTGGACGTCAATTGGACTAGTTTCATAGAGAAATATACACATCCTTACGGTTTGGAACACGTAACTTATCACGTCCATTCCTTGAAGTGCTTACCCAGAGATGTAATGGTTCGTGGGGAATTAGAGCATTTCTCAGCGTTCCCATTTGAATCCCACATGAGCAACACTAGAAGTAAGGCGTATAACGGTAACCTACCAGGCAGACAAGTGGCGCAGCGATTTATAGAAGTGTATGCAGAAGGTACGGCTTGGCCAACTGCTTTCATTATCCTCAAATTCACAATACACGGAAATATCTAGGGTTAGGGATAGAATAAGTGTGGGTAATTTCGTGACCACAACTTCACATAGTGATAGTTGGTAACACCCCAGATACCATAACAGAGATCTACGAGGATAACATGATGAAGCTTAGGGCTTATAGGGATTTCAGTAATTTCTTCACCAAACCTTTCGATTCTACGATATTTTTAAATGTACCAATTTTGACCACACAACCACTAAGGTATCTTCGAAAGACATAACATGTAAGTGTTTTGTAGTACCCATGCGTCAGCATGAGGTTATCATTCCTATTCTTCATACATTCAGGGACGACTGATGCACAGCATTACTTGTTCCAATAACGCTCTTAAGATGCTCTGCCTAAAATCTCCCGAAATGTAGGTTTGCACAGATGAATATTTACTAATTCGCCTTTTTTCCCTAACTTTTATTGTTCTCTATTCACTTTAAATTTCAGTTGTTTTCAGCAGCCAACGTCGCAAAAATTTATGTTTTTGGAGCCAACCGACGGCACCGAATTAATTCTGGTAACGGATGCGCGTCAATTGTCCAATGGAAGTTTACTTTACAAGAGGGCTATCGAGGATAACATCCCTAATGTCTGTTCCTCCTGAAACGTCGAATGGGTAATAGTTAAAGGGAATGTGGTTCTCACAACCGGTATGTTGAGTGACACTTTTTCATTTAAATAGCAGATTTTGATACTGCAAAAGTGGCTAAAGGGCAGTTAAACCTAGCCGCAGAGAGGCGGAAAATCGTGTTATGTACCTATCTGGACATCAGAGGGAAACGAACATGAAGTTCAGCAATGGTATCTTTTCTTCGATTTCATTCCTATAATCTGTACATTGATATTTATCTACATTATTTTACATGGATACAATTATTTTATTTTTATTTTTCGGCGTAGTAACGAAGTTGACAATTATTTTCAACTTTATATGAATTACAAGAGGCTCATAAAGAGAAATCGTAGGTGTAGTACGAATTACAGGTGTGAGCAAAGTGAGCATGGAATCAAATTTAAATCAAAATTTTCAACTTGAAATGTAAGTTAGGAGTAGTGAATATAGATTACAAGATGCGTAGAAACAAAAAATCACACAGGATTAGAATATAGTTGTTAAATAGTGAAACGGATTACATGTGTGATTTTAGGAGCATGAAACAAATTTAAAATAACTGATTTTATAACTGAAAAAATGGGATGAATTGAATGAAGACAAAGAGAGAAAAATACACAGAGAACAAAAAAAACTGAAAGATGAGGGAACATACCGAACTAGGTCCACGGTAGTTGTAAAGGCTGAACTAGTTTCTTTTAAACACACAGCGCCGGCTTTTTGATGCATATAGCGAGAGCTTCCGCAGTACAAAGAGGTCGGAATACACTGCCTTTGGTAGATTTTTGTTTACTTTGTAAATGACTCTGAATGGTTAGTTAGTTGAGATGCTGTGACAGGTATTAGCGAGGTGTTCAGTTATGACGTTTCCGATTGAATCAGTGCCGATCCAGTGCAACCATTCTGGATGATGTTCCCTAACACGTTTTGATAAAACCCTCATAGAACTACCTATGCACCTAGCTTTGCACGAGTAGGTGAACTGATATATGCACATTGGAGTGGTCATATGCGGAAGTCTATCCTTCCCGTTGCTCCGAAGTAGTCGGAGGCTAGAGAACATCACTCTTAGAGTTGCAGCAGGAAAAGTCTTCTTCATGGAATTAGAGATTCTCCTTTTAAGAATATCTGATGCTAGGTCTCCCCTGAATTCCAGATTCAAATAAAGTGTTTTCTTTGGCACTGAAGTGTATTCGTCTCTTTTTGACTTTGGTTTCATTTTCTTCTCCACGAAACGCGATGTGTATCCATTTGGAACCAGGATGCTTTTGAGAAATAGGAGCTCTTCTTCTAAACAGTCATAGCTGCAAATTCTTCTGGTACAGTGGGCTAGCGAAATGATGAGAGCTTTTTTACACCTGATAGGTATCTAACTGTAGAAGTTTGTCAGTTGGCCATTATATGTTGGTTTTCTATGGATAGATCTTTTCAGAGTTCCGTTATCTCTTCTTGTCAATTCGACGTCCAGGAATAGAATCTTTGATTTATTTTCAACTTCCGTTGTGAATTTAATTGAAGGATAGCAGTTATTAAACTCCTGTAAGATACAATTTAAATCAGAATTTTCCTGACAAACTATAAAAGTGTCATCGACGTATCTTTTGTGCATCAGCAATTTGTCCATTGTTGATTTTAAGATGCCGTTTTCCAGATTGGCCATGAAGCAGTGTGCCAAAAGTGGGCCAAGAAGAGAGCCTATAGCAATCCCGTCTATAGATGACGTCGTTGAATGTAAATTGTACGTTGAGTGTGCACCTTAATAATAACTCTTTCAGATATGAGGTTGGTATTCCGATACTCAGATTTTTGTCATCCATATATTTGCAAAGGAAACAAATTGTGTCTGTAAGCGACACATTCGTAAATGTACATTCTACGTCCAATGATAACATTCGTTTACCGTTTACATTCAAGTCTTTTATGCACTCAATAAATTCAAAAGTATCTCGGAGAGAGTACTTAAAGAGTTGTCATCTCACAGGCTCTAGCATTTCGGAGAACCGTTTGGCAATCGAATGGTACGATGATCCCTCCTTGTCTAAAATTGGTCTAAGTCGGTCGGTCGGTTTTCAACATAGAACTTTGCATATATGTGCGGCAGTTCAAGTCGCCACACTCCCTCCATGTAGCACACAAAGCAAGAGAAGAAAGTAGAAGAACTGCATAATATAGACAGTAAACAGAGGTGTGAGATAAAGGTATAGTAATAACGAAGAACAAAACAGTTTCATTGGAAATCATAAGTCACAATGACTGAATGCATCTGCGCCAGCCACTGAGAACGATTTTGAGCCATGTCACCAATTGTTTCCAACCATTGGTTTTTACCGTCCCGAGGACCCCAACCAGGAAGTCTACACCTTCCTACGCGCCTTAGACTAACTGTTGTAGATTTCATTGACTGGTGAAGCCATGTTTTCGTTTGACCGCCGCTAGCTCTTTTCCAGCCTGGCCCTATATCAGCTAACATTGCCCGTTCGTCGAGGAAGGCGATGACTAGGCATACATGCGTAACACATGTCCTAACCATCTCAGTCGATGTAATTTCACAGTCTCGTCTATTGATTTCCCCGCCTTACCTAGCAGACCTGCTTTGTGCACCTTTGGTATACCGTAGACTCGAGGGATAATTGATCCTGTTGGTCTCAGACGTTCAAATAGGTCATCAGTTATGAGGCAGTCGTTCCTCATCCTCCTAAGAATATCTGTCAGTTGCTGTTCCATCTCTTCTGTCTTATTCTTCTCGTTGTCTGGTTTTGAAAAGTTATTATCTTTAGAGATTAGAGCTGTCAGTTTATTGATATACACACCTCTGTCCATAAGGACCACTCCCGAACCCTGGCGGTGTAATGTTTAGATCTTTGTTGTTTCTCAAGTCTTTAAGCTGCTGTTTGTGTTCCTTTGTCAGGAGGTGTCGGACTTTAGTTTGTGAGTTGAGGTATTGATTGCAGCAGTCGAACATTGTAGACTTGAAGACTGGAATTTACTGAGTGCATCAAAGACTTAAGTGTAAAAGGCAAACGAATGTTATCACTGGACTAGTAGAATCTATATTTACGAATGTGCCGCTCACAGACACAATTTGTTTCCTTTGCAAATATATGGATGACAAAAATCTGAGTATCGGAATACCAACCTCATATCTGAAAGAGTTGTTATCACATTTGACTTTATTCCTTCCAGTTTTGACAAAATCTGTATTTCGGGTGTCGCTTTCTTCTATTGACGTTGAAGGGATGGAAGTTTGCCAGTAGAACTCATGGCTAAAACCTAGATTAATATAGTAGCTCATTGAATGTATACCAGCGCTTTGGTTTTTGATTCATTAATATTTTAAGTCATCAGTTCTCCCTCATTTGCACATATAAGACCTTCTAATCATTAACAGACATCAATGTTTGTCTGCATTTCTGATTATTTTTGAATTTATCCCGGTGAACAGTTCGTCGTTTAATCAGTTGAAGTACATCTTTGAGGTGTTTCCACATTTTCTAACTACTAAACTAGTTTATAAAAATTTCGATCATCAGCAGTATGCACAGTCATTATGAACAACGGAATGTAACTCAGTTATCATACTTTTAATGTGTGCTAGGTAGTAGGTACTACTTGTATTTTTATGCCTCTAGTTGGTTACTCAGACATTTACAGATTTGATAACATTCGGATCTGAAATATTGTTAGAAGTATGCACCTACTTCAGTCAGTTTAGCGACCAAAGTTTAGAAGTGTGTGCTCTATAGAATGATAAAGAGTGTATATGTTTTTATCCTTGGGCATCCACAGTTCACGTAAATGTGGCTATTCCTGATACTAATATTGCATTTTTGTTTTGTCGAAGGTAAAATCCTGAATTAACTAGACCAATAAATCTGAATGATATTTGTAGATTAGTAACATATTCTCCTAAGAAAATACAACGGAAGCTTTTTGTCTCCAGATAAAGTAACCCCCGTACAAGCGCATAAAATTCCAAGGAATTACGATATATTCAGTACCACAAAACTAACATCTTCACTACAGAAATTAATGGGCCGAAAGGGAGTTCGCAACGCTCGTTATAAAACTAAGAACAGAACGAGGGATATTGACCAGGTAATTTATAATATTTCTTATTTAGGACTTTTAGCCTAAAGGCAAGTAATATTAATTTTTCATTTGCCTTTTATAATTTCAACAAACTAAATCCTTATCTTCTCCACATGATTCTGTAAACGAAATTCGTGCTAAAAATTGCACAGTAGTACAACATGTAATCGCACAAGTTCAAAGATTAAAAATATGTTTGTCATTGTTAAAGCGCTTCATATGATAATATGTACTCAACTGACTGTAATTTTAGTTTTAATCGTCAGCATAGGAAATGAAGATGCTCTTCCGCATATAGTTGCGTATGTTCTAAAATGATAAATAAAAAAGGTTTGTTCAATCATCAGCACCATAAGCCTCGAAGCTTTTACCATCTCACTAGACAATTACGAATTTGTATGACTGTCATCATATAGACTTTACCAAAGTAGACACTGGTGGACCAGCGGAACAATTTTGACTACCACGTGAATAAATCTAAATTATATAGTCTGATTGCCACTGGTGTTCAAGTATGACCGGGGATAGTTAGGACATAGTATTTCACAATCTTACGCTTCGTTTGCAGCTTATTTTACCACCATACATTAGATGCATTTCCACAGAATTAAGAATACAAATTTGTATATCCCTTCCTATTATAAAATCTACATAGACGTAGCAATTGAAAAATTCTAGTTCCTGAAAACTGACGTACATGGAATTCTGGATTATGTGCCTATGACACACCTAGAATGTACATTAATGTTACTTTACTTTACTTCGGCTATCTCCTACGGAAGGATGAGCCGGCTTCATGAACATCTCGAATCATCGCTGCCCAGGCGCGGCGATCTGTTGCAAGGTTTTGCGACAAGGTAAGAGAGTTCATGAAGTTTCATGGGAATTTGGTACGAGTGATGTCCCCAGAATCGCTCGGCCTTTTGTTTGAGAGTGCAGCTCTAGCCTTTACACAACCAAGTGTGACCTACAAGGCAGTAGGAGTGGAGTAGGGAGTCCACTATCCATTGGCAGCCGGTGACCGAAGTTCGGTTCATACGCCTTTTTGAATGGGGCCAGACATCCAGGACATCCAACAAGCCCTTTGCCCATACGTCTACCGGTGAGCTCCAGTGAGCTTCATACGCCAGTCGTTGGAGGTTTGGAATCAGGGTTTAGCCATCTCCCCTAGACTGTCATCCAATGGACAGTCAACCCGGTGAAGAGCGCCGGGCATCCGCTTTCGCCCTCTCACTTTGGTGAAAAACACCTCCGCCACGTGAAGGCAGTGAGTAGGACTTCCTCAGGAGAGGCTATGTAAGACGCCCGGTCATATGGGAGCATTTCAAGAGGTGTGCGGAGGGGTGGCCAACCCGCAGCGCAAGGCACCCACCCCCGACCATCCTGAGGCTTTGGAGGCTACATTCATGTGGTATACTTAACAAACTCCAATTAGCTCCACTTTGCGTATCTGTTGTCCGAGAAAACAACTAAACACCCTATATGATAAAATTGTTTCTTGAAACTCTTGCATCCGTTTTATGATGATATACAGGTTTGTGATGAACATGAAAACAACCAGCTCCTCTCTTTGTGCACAGAGCAATTTTGACGTACTTCCAAAGGTGACATGATGTCAGTTAACAGGAGACTCTAAAATTCATCAATAGTGCTCAGAAATTACACTTTGTAAATTATACACGAACGACTCGAATTAAAACAAAATGAAACCAAAAGCAACCCTGTCTTATCGCACTATTGGTTGGGAACAGTGGTGAGGTGTTTCTGTACTGAGCTTCCAGGATGTTCACAATTTTCTCAGGTACACCTCTCTCTGACAGAGTTTCAGAGCACAGTTCTATCCAACGAATCGAAGGCAGCCCTAATATCAAGAAACAACGATTATTGGCCTGTAATACGATAGATGGTGTTCCAACAACAGAAGAAAGGTGAAAACATGATCAATGCATCCACGACCTGAACCAATCACAGCCTGCTCTTCGCGAATCAACCCCTCATATGTTTTGCACAACCTGCGAAGCAAGACAGCTGCCAATATTTTAGACGTAACTGGTAGTAAACTGATACCCCTATGATTGTCTCATGTGCTACCTCGACCCTTTTTAAAGATGGGGATATTAATGGCTTCATTGTACGTTGATAGTACATCCCCGATCTCTCATACCTTCAAGAATAATCCGGCTAAAGTCATGACGAGAGTTTCGCCACCATCTTTAAAAAGAGCGAGACCACCACGCTGACACCTTGTTTCTTGCTGCTGGTGGCTCGGATGAGCTGGAACAGCTTCTGACTGCTGCCAGATACAGCAGCTGACTCAATCGCATAAGCACGTTCTGACCATCAGACTTTGTGGTCATTACGTGAACACTATCTAGTCTTGCGCGTAAGCGCCTTTCGCACACTGTTGTATTCGCTGCCAGCTGAAATGGACTGGCGTTCATCCAAGAGTTGCAAGGAACTTACAGAAACCCAGTGGTTTCTAGCGGAGCATTCTTGTTGATCGTAAACGACTACCCTTGCCCTTTTCATGACACCTTGCAGATGAAGCCAGTGTTCATCTATACCGCTTGGGGAGTTTTTAGCAAGCATTGATTTTAATTCAGCTTGGCATTTCTAAGAGGTAACAGGTGCAGTCAGTTTGCTCACATCAACATTCAGATGACGCCGTTTATGAATGCCACCAAGTTGCAAGACGAACCTCCCACACTAACGCATGATTGGAGTCCAGGCATGTGCTTAAGAAAAAGTGGCAGTCTTGTATGCATCCTCGCCACCGGAAACTGACAGCAGTATGATCAATCTGAGCCCAGGCTTGATCCGCTGAGGGAGGGCGCCAGGTAGCATTACGACGATGGCTATGCCGGAAGTTGGTGCTGGCTAAAAAATAGGTTGTGATCTGCGCAAAGCTGCAACAGACAGTCCCCATTACCTGACCTGCGACCATGTAAGTCCCACTGACCACCTAGACGATTCTCCTCTGAGCTTAGATTCCCGACCTGTACATTAAACTCCCCAGCCAGCACTATGATATCCCTCCGACGCGCCTGTTTCAAGAGATCGCTCAGTTTGTAGTAGAACTTATCCTTTATTTCATCCGGGCTGCAATCCGTCGGTGCATAGACAGAGACAACAAACGAGCACCATCTATCTGGCTTACCACTTCTTACTTTCGTATAACCTTCCAGCCTAACAGCACATAAACGACTGTTAATGGGAATCCAGTTGAGTAATGCAGCTTCAGCTCTAGAGCTTAATGCGACACTGACACCAGCTACGCCGGGTGCCGACGCCACAGGGTCCCTAAATTAGCGCAGGTGCTACATACTTTTCGAACTTCCAGATGGAGAGGATAATTGAAGCACTTCACTGGGATCTTGAATGCGGGTTGATAGCTAGGTTTTCCAATGTTCTTAGCAAACCTTCCTGTTGTCCGATTTGCATCAGTATCCGACCATTGTAGGCGGCAAGCTTGGACGCGACATGCGGCTTCAGGATAGCTGTGTTAGATGTTGCACTGGGAACCACCATTTCGAAAGCTTCTCACTGATATCTCGAAACAGAACATGTAGGCTGAGAATGCGGACGAAGGTGAAGGGCTCAAGAAAGTGAAGACACCAAGGATAACAAAGGTAAACACAAAAGCTTAAGTATAAAAGTATAGTTAAAAAGAAATGCATCCCTTGAAATATCATTAATGTTCTAATCAGCATGCGAATAGTTTTACTGGAAGTTCGGTGTTTAATTCCATTATATGAAGGCTGAGATTACTACCTAAATGCCCAGACCCAATCAGATGGTTGTCTTAAGGGACCACCCGCCGTACCTTTGACTTGGAATCTAAGCTGCTGAGCAGCCTCAGGAGTTATGTTCCCATGGTTGCCGGTGACTAATATAGGTTCATACGTCATTTGATCCAATTGGATTCTGGAGCTCATGTATCCCATAAGAACGGCTTCAACAGCACATCTCCATTTCATCCTGTTCTCTGTAGTCATTTTTATCTGGCTGTACTATTGGCTATGAGTGTTCATTGCCTCTCACTATCTCTTTCATGTCACCAACGGGTGCCCAGCTCGTCTACCGTTCGAGTCCTATTCGAGAGCCTAGCGCGCTCCACACCCAACCTTCCCCCTTTTTCCTGGCTTAGAACCGGTTAGTAAACCAGGTAAGGCTTGTATAACATCTTTAAATCTTCTACATACCGATAAATTTTCTATCTGTTTATACACTCGCGCATTGGTTTTGTACTCATTGTATTCATCACGTATAATCCTTATGTGGTTTTTCTCCTTAGATATCCACCGATCTGAAAGAGGAAAATATTACTAAACGTTTGAATGAGGCTATGGAACCAGATGAAGACAGGCCTGGTTTAGGTCAATTTTTCTGCATTTTTTGTGATAAATATTTTATTGACCAAGAAACTCTTGATTTACACAAAAAACAGAAACCTCATAAGCGGAGACTGAAATCACTGAATGAACCACCACATACACAAGTATGCTCAATTTAATTATTTTATTTGTACATATGAAGTTTAATTTTATCGTTTCTCATCACATATTGTGTTCTGTTAGATGTGTAGTTTTTCAGTTTACTTGGAGACTGTCAGAGAAGGAGTCTTATTTTGATAGATTCATTTTGAAGTAATGTGTGCTGATTGAAGGTCAAATTTAAACTTAGATTACTGTAAGATGTGAGCCACTAGCCCTCAGATGATAAAAATAATTCCTCACATTCAAGTTTTATTTTTACAAGAATACTCGAAGTTGGTCATCGTTGTTTGAAAGATAGGTGGAAACATTGATATATATATATATATATATATATATATATATATATATATATATACAGGACTGGACTACGTCAACTCCAAGCTTAGTGATAGGGAGTGAAGTGATAGAACATGTTGACCACTTCACGTATTTGGGAAGTTGTATCAGCACCAACGGATTGATTGGTGACGAAATCACAGCACGGATCCAGAAAGCTCGGGCTGCTTTCGCTAACTTACACCGTCTCTGGCGTAGGCGTGACATCCGGCTGTCAACCAAGGGACGTGTATACTGCTCAGCAGTTCGCTCCGTCCTTCTCTATGGCGGTGAGACGTGGCCATTGAGAGCGGAAGACATGAAGAGATTGTCTGTTTTTGACCACAGATGTTTACGATCTCTTTCTCGCGTTAGGTGGTATAATAAGGTAAGTAATGTTGACCTTAGGCGTAGTGTTGGGTAAAGAGGGAAAATCAATCGGCGAGGCTATTAAGTTACATAGATTAAGATGGCTAGGTCACGTGCTGCGCATGCCTAACCATCGCCTCCCCCGATGGACGGGCATTACTAGCTGATGTCAGTGCAAGTTGGAAAAGAGTAAGTGGTGGCCAAACAAAAACATGGCATCAATCCATGAAATCGTTGACAGTTAAACTGAGTGAGGTATGGAGATGCAGACTTCCGGGTTGGGGCCCTCGAGACTCTAAGAATCAATGGCTGGAGACAATAAGTGACATGGCTCAAAGTCGTTGTCAATGGCTTATGCAGATGTATTCAGCCTCTGTATTCTTTCATATTCCTTTCTACCATTACTCATTCTGTTTCACTCATACTTGTCAAAACTCCATTGATTCTCTTCACTCATCTTCTTGTCTACCTTTGTGTGCTATTTGGAACGTGGCAACTCGAACTGCTGCACTTCGGTGCCAAGTTCTATGTTGAATCCAGCATATATATATATATATATATATATATATATATATATATAATATGCCGATTCATTGTATTCACAAATCAGCTGCACTTATCAAGTAGTGTAACAGCAGAAGACAAGGGCCAGGCAACCGATCGTTTATTAAGGAAAATCAACACATATTTATAGATTTTAATGTACATTGTTGTAGATTATTGTTAGTAGAAAATGCAGTCTTTTGATTGGTTGTTTCTCACAGAAAGTTAACCTTGCGTCTCTTTGTGACTGTGTCAGATCATCCATAAGCTAACTGTATCCGCCTACGCAAAGCCGTTGTTCTCATTTTCTCACCACCAATATTGGGGACATAAACATTGACGTCAATTACTGTCTACCAACTTTGGCTAGTAGTCAGCTCTCACCACAGTAGTACAACGATGCATTTGATTGTATTTACTTAGTGTAAATCTAATATAACCGTCTCACTAGATATACTTTAACGAAAAAGTTTCATCAAATTTTGGGAGACTACTGAATATTGGATAAAGAAAACCCCTACTATGACCTCTATATCCAGGAATCTGGGTCATTTCTGCTGGATAAATTAATGATAACTCGATTTATGCAGATGGATAGCAACAGGTTGACTAAATTAAAATTTCAACGTTACTTGAAGATGCTGCTGTCCTACTACGGTGTTTGATTTGTTTATTTCCTACTGAATGTTGACTCATAGAAATCAGTTGGGTTTTTGTCAAAATTTATAACACCGTTTACTGTTTTACTGAATTATTCAATCTGCAGATCCCTTAAATCCTCTATCAATCATTTATGTTTCTATAGTGATATTGACCGATGCATGTATATTGCACCATTAATTGAATTATACTGAACAATTAAAAAAAATTAGTTTCAAACATTGAATACTAAATGTCATTCACTTAAAACAGTCCTATCTTTCAATATGTATCAATATATGTATATATATATATATATATTGATTAGTGAGTGGTTTTAAAGCAAAAACTTGAGTCACTGTATCATTCAAATTGATCACCTATCCTTATTAAAGTCCATCCACTGACTAAGTTTTTATTTCATATTCCTCACATGGTGGTGGTGGGGGTGTTGTCAGGTGACTGGGCGATACATAACTATCAAGTATCATCACTATAATATTAGTTATCCAGTTCGATATGCTGATATGAATTATGGGCCACAAATTATATACAAACGACACTGTGGGTCAACAACCTTTTTGAAGTGCTTTCAGTTGTTATATCGTGTGTTTCCGAAGTATTTTTCTCTCTCTTAAAAACAGTAATAAAAAGCAAACCTGTTTTGCAATCTGTTTGCATTTTAAAGAATTTAGTTTGCAAGGTAAAAATCACTTGATTTATTGTAGTAAATAAAACAAGTATGTAATTCGTAGTACAAAGGTAATCAAAATCGTCCACCTGAAATAGATTTTATGAAGCTCAGTTCCATTTTGCATAGTTGAAAAGCTATTTATAGCTTCAGAAATTGTGATTTCTCATTTGTTTGACTGATTCAAATGTTTATTTTGTATACTTACCTTCATTTTATTTTCACAGGAAGATGCAGATTACGCTGCTGGAATATTAAAAGACGATTATAAAGTGCCTTCAAAGAGATTATGCCGAAATACACCTGATCTATGCCAGTTAAATATTTCATCAGTACCCGAAAGTTCTTATGTTTATATAGAATAAGCGAATGACTTTGTACAACTCCTTTTTTATTACTGTATAGCTGTACATTATATTATTTCTACAGGGATTTAATCTGTACATTGAGTATTGTATTTTAAATACACTAATGGATATTTATTTATAAGCATCAAATTTTGATAAAAAGGAGTTCTGTATCATTATTTTTTTATTGTTAATACGTTGGGATCAAAGTGAAACGTGGCGTTTCAGCAGCACATCTCCATTTCAGCCTGTTCTCTGCAGTCGTCCTTAAGTGTCTCCAGGATTGCGAGTAAACTTTCATTTCCTCCTCATACGATCCTTTCCATGTCACATTCGGGCACCTAACTCGTTCCCCATTCGGGATTCACTTGAGGGCCTGGCATGCTATGTCACTTGATGGTCTCCTCAGCGTATGTCCAATCCATCTCCACTTCCTACTGCATATTTGTTGGGTAATAGGTGCTTGGTTGGTTCGTTTCCCGAGTTCCTTGTTGCGTATGCTTTCCGACTGGCCATATGATCTTCATTATCAAGGCAATAAAGGCACCTGTTGATGAAATTCTGCAACTTGTTGGAAATGTTCTTGGTGACGCGGATGTCTGGACCATATAGCAGCACTGACTGACTTGATAATTATGCTGGAAATCCTAATCTTGTTCCTTATACTGAGTGCAGCAGATTTCCACACTGATTTCAGCCTAACGAATGTCTGTCTTGATTTTCCGATGCTGGCTTTGACATCGCCATCTGTATCACCTGTAATTGAAACAATGCTTCTTATGTAAATGGAAGAGGTGACTTCCTTCACATTTCTTCTGTTGGTGATGCCTGTTGTTGTTGGATAGGTCTCGTCAGCACCTGTGTCTTCTCTAGGTTCACTCGAAGTCCTACCTTTGCTGTCTCTTTCGCCAGCTTGTCACTTGTCGTCCGTAGATCTTCGGGCTAGTATGGAAGAGTTTATTTAGTTAATTTATAAAGTGGTTTGCATTTTCTGGGAGTGGAGAACACCTACTAAGCTATAGTTAGAACTCAGCTAAGTGGAACCGATTTATGATATATAAGGTTATTCTAACTTATAGCGTGAGAGTTGACGATGATACCTAGCTGCCTAGTCTAAAGGCCGTGGAGTGGGTTTCTAACTCGGGACCCAATAGTTGGAATATAAATGCGGGAGTCTATAAGCCAATTCTTCATCCCAATTAAATTGCTGAACCTGAGTGATATGTTCCGTTTCATCTGTCCGTAGAAATTTTATAAGCAGTATTACAAATAAATTCAGTTTCCAATATATTTTTAATGGCTTTGTATAAATTTAAGTCATATTCATCAATAAGCCAGTCATTGTCATCGTTATGCTTTCCTATCGATGTGGTAGGTACTTTCTCTGAATAAGTGGATATTTTATTACTTTGACAGTTTTACCGCTGATGGTTTAGACTACTTCTTTTGCAAAGAGATTGGAAGACTAGTAAGAGATTTAGCAATTGCATATGCTTATCGCTTCTTGAAATACTGAGGAAATTTATTATATTTGCCACTTTTCGTTCATTGTACAAATGATCAGCGAAGATAACACATGCCTTCGAGAACTAAAAGGTTCTTCATACAGTCAATAATTTCTTTTAAAAGATTATTTGCTTATTAAACGTAGATTTAAGGTAAATGAGTGTAACAGGGATTTATTTGATTTTGTGAACAGTTATACTTGTCTTCCATTAGACTGTATGCTGTTGAAGTAACCAATTGTACTTTTACTCGTCTTATCAGTCGTATTAATTGATTAGTTATATCCTGACATTCTAGAATGCTCTTTTGATGAGAGGTGAGTTTAAAAACACGTATTTGCTCGTCGGTGAGGTTGTCAGGATGAAGTTATACTATGGCTTTGACAAATAAAATTTAATCTTATGAACATGTTTTATTCTGGGCAAACAAACATCCTCAATTGATGTATTTCCCAATTAGTGAAAGGATAAGATCAAACTCCAAACCAGAAATTCTGCTAGCTGTTCTTTCTGTGTTTCTTTTCGTCTGATTTCTCTAAGGAGAACACAGGAACTTCCAAATACCCAATTCCTTGTCTTACTCTACTACTTCAAACTATAATAAACTGGAGAGATTTTGTTATGTGCACATATATAGCGATGGATGATTTCCTACTTACTAGTCTTTCTACCTCACTTTCTCTTATTGTTACAACGACTACCAGTTAGTTCTAGCTCCTCATTCGGAGGTATGCTAAAGTAACTCTGCCCTCATGATTAAATTTAGTGTCTCTCAACTAACTCAGATAAGTAGGTTGCGTCTATTAAAACAGACACACTGGCTTATGATTAGGTATTCTTTTGAAACAGTAGTTGATATATGATGTGTACCGGTCCCTACAAAAGTTCAAGAGTACTAATGGTATTAAATTCCTTTCTTTGTTGACTTACGGTCACTTGCGTATCTTTCAGTTGAACTATTCGATAAGAATCTAGGGGAACCCCATAATACGTGTATTTGAAAGGTTTTTAGAAGCTGCTGTTTATTATATTTGTAAAGTCTATGCTAGAGACTTTCAAATTCTCTCCAAACGGTGATGTATAAAAATGAGGCATAATACGGGATAAGTCATGGTGTGGCGAGTGCTACTGACAAGATTTATCAGTAGTATATAAAGATGTGTTCATCGGCATCAAACAGCAGGGAGATACATTTGATTTCAGAGAAGGCAAATGATACAGCGTCATGGAGATACATGGGAGACGTGAAAGGAATTTAAAGAAACAATATGAAGTCCCGAAGTACCACAACACGATGATCTGTGCAAATGATGCATTGGAGATAAAGTATACATAATTTGGTTATATGGAGATACCAGTTTTACCAAGTCTTTCGTCTTTCACCGTTTCAATGGTGAGTGATCTTTGGGTGTTATTTTAGTGGTGTCAATTTGCGTCAATGGGTCTGACAATTAACATCAACTTCAGAAAAAGACTGGTACTTTAGTATGCGGGTGAAAATTGCTTAGTGTTTTCTGACCCGTGACACTTATTCATGGATCTTAGTATCAAGTTAGTGCTAAAGACTTCACAAAATCTGGTATAAGATAATAGATATGATGCATTATCAAAGCTCAGAGAACAGTGAATGATTTCCATAAAGAAATGAATTGTGTCCCTGTATTGAACTCACATTGATGTAATTTCATAAGTAAAATGGCCGATACATTCAGCTTTTTCGCTTCGTGTTTTTGAACTAGGAGTCGTTGTAGACCAGTTGTGTAACATAATGTTAGATTTGTAAAAGGCAAACTTTATGAAAAATATCCTCGAAGAGTCAAGGTTGTACTCATAAATACATTCACCATAAAAGTAAATGTGGGCGATGATACTGAACGTGCGTAAAGGACACCACTGGTCATCGTCACTTCAGATGACATCTGTCCATAGTCAGTTACATAGTTGCATGAGTTCGGGTGGGGTTCATTGCTTACAACAGTATGCTTCCTCCGCATTGCCTACACAATGCTACTACAAAACTCAGTGGACAGAGTCGAATCCCTCCTTCACATTAAGAAACACGACATATAATGTGTCTTGTAGTACCCGTGGTTATAACCTATCCGAGACAGAGTATCCCTTACTTATGGATGACAGTTTCTCGGCTTTATCAAAGCTGTTTCCCCCGAGCCCTACTCAGTCTTCATAGAAATATGGAGTCTAGAAGGTCGGATGCTGTAGTAATTTAATCGGTTCCCACGCGTTTATTAGAGAAAGGCATGTCCCTATTCTGGCCAACCGGAATGATCATTGTTGCGATGGGACTATGTGGGATTTCCATACACCAAAATGAGTATCTCAGTTAATCTAGCCATTAATTCATTACCAATATTTTTAAACACTTCTGTGTCAAAGCACCAGGCCCTGCTGTCATGACTGATTTCAGATTTGGTAGGCTTAATTCAACCTCGTACAAATTCGCACATTCGATACCTGTATCTCGTTCAACCTAAGGTTAAGTGAGTAAAATAAACTAGTCCCTCTGCTCCAAGCATCTTCCCCGTTGGTGCAGTCAAAGGTCGACAGGTACCCCTCATATGTTACATCCAACTGTATATACCAATTCTCATTTATCTGCGGAGCAGTTACATTGAAAGAGCAGAAAGAAGGGCCTATGTCGGATTCTTCGAACATGTACCAAGGAGCTTACGGTTAAAGGGGCCAAGTAGTTTAAGCTCTTCAGCTACCAAATACCTGATAGACACTGGACACTGAGTAGACGCGCTGCGATCATTCAAAATAATTAACAGACAAATCAGCTCAAGTCTTCTTCAGTTTGTTGAGGCTATCACAATAAAATGGCTGAAACCTGACCTGTGTCCTAAAGGAATCTGTCGTTGGACTCCAATTACCCTGATGACTTGTCCGTTAGTGACTCTTAGTCTTCTAACATCATTAACTTATCTTTTCGACGCCCCCCTCGCCTCGTTTCTTATTTGACTTCCGTAAGAGATCATTTTTCTTGACTCACCATATTACATCATCACCTTTTCATCTAACCTCTTGCAACCAAATTTTGATCTTCTCTTATCTAACTATGTAATTGTTACTAGTTTTTTGTTATCACCCTAACAACAAACTTGTCAGTTAATTTTCTAGAAAATTTTCTCTCTCTCTTACACGTCAGCTACCTTGTTGTCCTGATGTTTTACCTCACCATGACACTCATAATATGCTTGTTGATGGCAAAAGTATGTTAAATTTTGCGCTAACTTTTATTTGCTTATTTATTATTATTTTTATTTATTTATTAAAGATTATAGGTTGTATGCAGGTGATGAGAAACAACGAAATAAAATGGATCCATGTTATTCTGAACTAATGTTTGTTCTTTTTTTGCTCAAACTTAGGTAAAGTGGTGGATAATTATAGTTTACAGGATTTCCATCATGAGCTGACATTAGTTAGAGAACCATTGGAAAACCTGGGAGTACTGGACAGCTGTTTCGTCCTAGTTTGGGACTCTTCAGCAGTACGCATCCACCGGGATTCGAACCAAAGACCTTCTGGTTACAAGGCGAGCTCGTATACCACTAAGCTAACCAAATCCCTACAAACCAACACTTGAATTATAGTTTAGCTGGAAGCCAGGTTAACTGCTCCTCATATGTTTCTTCCGTCTCTTCAGAGAATTT